GACATCTTTTACGAACTTTTCCTGGGTTTATCAGTAATAGTTTTCTATTTATAAAGAGTCAAAGTTAGGTAACAAAGTTAATTTTAACTAAACCAACAAAGGTTTTTTCCAACTTATGATTGTGATTAATAGCACGGAAATGTAAGATTACGTTTGAGAAACAATAATTGTAAAATTTATAAAATGTGTGGACACGGTATCTAATGATCAATTTTCCTCATTTTCAAAAATATTCTCTTCTTCATATAACCTAGTGATAAGGATTTTTTTTTTATTTTTCCCAGAACAGATATGTAAACGAAATATATATTACATTATGTGTGTAAATATATTACTCATACGAATGACACAGACAACATACTTAAATTTTCGACTAAGGACGCCAGGAAGCACAAAGAGTTTGGAAACTCTTGATCTACAGTGAAGTGAATTTAAACCAAATTAACATGAAAATGGTTTAAAAAGACGTATCTTCTCTATTGAGGTATCCGACTGCCCTAAAGTTGTACATTTTGCCGAAAATTGACGAATTTCTTTATAATTTTATTTTGTAGACCATCTTATTAGCTTTATAAAAATACCAAGTTTATTACTTTCCGTTCACTAGAACAAATACTACAAGTGTTTTAGTAAACCAGATGTCATTATTTGCAGCAAGATGTGATGTTTTAAAAAGCGTTTTGCTCGAAGTCTGTGTGTTCCTTTTTTAAAAATTCACAAGCGGGGACAGCGATTACTCAAAAAATTTTGAGATTAATTAACTGAACATTTTTTTCATGTCAGTATAATAATAGAAGTATTTTAACTTTCATATTTATCGATCACTCTTTTATTTCAAAATTTACAACCTCTTATGTTAATATAATCATTGTTTTTTTAAGCAATTTAATGTTATAACTAAGAAAAATTGCACTATTTTTTGTAAGAAATTAAAATGTGTCATCCTGAAGGTCATTTCAAAAATGAATAACAAAGCAACACATCTGAATTGAAAATTTTTTCATAAACTTTTGGTACAGAATGGGCCCCGTTATGCTATTTTTTGAATATTTTTATCATTGTTTTCCCATTTTAGTAATAATAATTTCTTTTTCTGTTCTTAATTTTAGCATATATTTCTTAAAATGTACTGAAGATATCTAAAAACCACAAAAAATCCCCATATCTCCATTTTTTTAAAAAAAAAAAACAGTTGTAGTCGGATATCTTAAATGCTAAAACGCCTTGTGTATTTGTTTATAGAAGTACAGTTAAAATAAATTTTTTAAAAAAAACATGCATTTGTGTTTTTTTTATTAAATCTTGTTCAACTTCTTGAACTCCTGAATCTCTTTTTATTTGGTAAGCTTTATTGCTGTAAAGAGCTCACATTTTGTTTCGGTCTAAATAACTCTATGTGTTCATAAATAATTTTATTATAACTTATAAACAAAACATTTTCTTCATCTTATATTCATAAGAACTGAGGAACAAGATTAAAACATTGATCCTTTTTGATGCATGTAATACTGTAGATCAGGGGTTGCCAACTTATGGCACATGTGCCACGTGGTACAATTCTCAGCGGCAATCTGCACTACTCTACAAATTTGTCAATTTGTGAGAGGATGGAAGTTTATAAATTTGTAATGAACCTTATTCGACAAACCTCTTCAGAGTTATGGATATTTACGGAATTACGAAAAAATGTGAAAGTAAATTTACAGCTATTTTGTGTGTAAATTATTGAATGTCAAAGATGGAGAAATTTAATTGTTTAAAGAAAGAATATTGCATATACTCTACTTTCCGCTTTTGGTTCTACATATCTTGTGACGGGTCTTAACGCAACCTTCACACTAATCCTCTTGGGGAATCTTTGGGCAAGCATTCACGTTTAATTCACAGCCATCCTTCTCAAGAAGAAACCCTGATATGTAGATTAGTTAGAGTATATAAAGTCAGAGTTTCTGGTCATGCTTTGTTTCCTCCCGCACCCTTAGGTAGGCAGGACGGAGAGGGAACGACTTCGGAAGTCGCTCACACAATCCAAGTAAAAAACTTTCCTCATATGAAACATATTTTCTAGTCCACAAAGAAATTTTTTAATAACTGAATTCTCAGAATCGTGTCAAATTTAAAGTCAAAAATTATACTCCTGATTTTTCTGTATGAAGTATAGTGGCGCAAGCACTAGGTTCGCATTAAAATTTATTTATCTTTTTATTTAACTATAATGAAGGCAAATATTTATATTTTATGTTGTCAATTTCTCATTTTAATAAACAAATTTAAAATACATAATATATGTACAATTAAATTTTGTTTTTATTTCTGTTGAAGAAATGGTTATATTTTATGCTGTTTATTTTTATGTTCAGAAATCTCTTTAAAGGGGATGCAAAATTAATACGTAACAAGTAATATAAAAAAAAATTCGTCTATTCCTACTAAGGCTAACAAAGAAAATTTTATTTTAGTTACTTTTTATCAAATAATTACAATTAAAATAAATATGTATATACATAGGACAGAATCACAATATTAAGTGGCAATTAATTTTTAATAGTTATCATTAAAGTATCGTATTGTCATCCAAAACAATCGTGTATATAAATTTTCTGTTCAACTGAAAGCTTTAAAACGTGAGAAAAAAAGACTTTTAAAGTTTTAACCCTAGTCACTAAAAATGAAGCCAACGTGACTGTATCTGTAATTCTTTAAATAATTGTTTCAGTCAATTCATTTTAATTCAATATAATTAAATTATCGTATTGTCACCCAAAATAGTCGTGCATATAAAATTTCAGCTCAATTGAGTGCTTTAAAATGTATTTTATTAACGATTGAAAATTTGTGAACAAGTTATATATAAGTAGATTGTGAACTCTAATAGTAGAAATTGAAATAAAACAATAAATATCTCTTTCTCTTTGTATATATATATATATATATATTATTATTATTATTAATTTTTTCTTCCCAATCTGCTTTTATCCCCAGGAATCGAATGGTTCCAAAATTGTTCTTCTGTGTGGCATGAACCCTATTGGTGAGGGTAAGCCACCACAGCAAAAGGTTTTGGATCCCCTGCTGAGGTATGGGGACATAAAAAAAATATGGCAATTAAATTTCGTGATTCGGGTATTTTAGTTTCAAAACTGACACCAGAGGAGGAATTTTCACCTGGATTGCTTAGATGAAATAAACATCTAAGGCACACATGCTTTAAAACTTTAATGAGGATTTAATCAAAGTTTTGGTAAATCCCAGAGGAAGCTTCTAAAAGGCTTACCACTTGAGATGTTTGAAGAAAATCCTGTTTAATTACACCATTCTACACATCTGAATGAAGATGCTTAATTCACTACTCAAGATAAATTCTTTATTCTTCGTAATGGGAAGCTCTGAACGTACAACTTGCTTTTATTTTCGTGTTTTCCATTAAATGTGAGTTTTCAAAGAATTATGAAAGTGAACACAAATTCTTCTACTAAGACTGCATGAAATAATGCTAAATATTTAGTGATATAGACTAATAACTAATTGCTAAAAATCGCTTGGAAATAATATGGTTGAAATAAGAAAGAAAAACGATTTTTAACGATTTAAGAGGTGCTTTTTTTTTGAAAAACGCTTTTTCTTTCAGAAAATGAAAATCTATGCTTAAAGGCTTTTTTTAAATTCCTACTATTAGTACCCTCTCTCCCTACATATATAAATGGACGTTTGTATATATGAAATCGCTTCCCTCCAACACACCGTTCAAACGATCACTATGAAAATTGGGAGATATTATTCTTTGTAAAAAGGTTTTTTTTCCTTCCCCCTTTTTTGCAGCTTCCCATCAGGTGGAACTACAGCATATCAACTTCTGCGCCATTCAATTCATCGCCAAGTAGCCTACATGGTCACCAAAAAGGATGCCAACTTAGCTCTATCGCCAACATCTCGCAATGTTTCCATTGAATCGGCATTATACTGTAAGGAACGTCGTTGCTTGCTAATATTAAAATTTTATCTTAGAAAAAATACAACAGAAAGTAATATTAACGTATTACACATCCAAACATAAATTATTTACACTATTTTAAGCGTTCAATATACGAAATTTGTAACAATGTGTTACTTTTTTAGTGAGCAGAGATCAGCTTAGCAGGTGTTTTCAAAAATCGACACACACGGGAGTTACGGTGCATTATAAATAAAAGAAATCCTTTTTATCAGCTATTATATTTACAGATATAAAATTTCACAAATATGTTTTTTGTTCCACTGAAATATGCAAAAGGCTTTTTGTTGTTGTTATTTAATTGCAACTCACGAAAAATTAACTCATTAAAAACTTCTTTATATTTCAATCTATATTGTTTAATTTTTTCAACTCACCCGTGCGAAGAACAGCTATACCAGCTAATAAAATAGAAATATAATGAACTACTACGGAATTAAAATACAATAATAATAAAAAAATTCAACAGCTAAATGTTAGTGAAAGAAACCTATTTCTTAAAGGAAATGTTTTGTTATGTCATATTATGATCTTATTTGTTAAAATATAGTTAATAGATTTTTTTATTTAAATATATTTAAGTACTTTTATGGTTAAATTTTGTGTTTTGTAGGTGCTGTAATAATCTCCACAGTTAAACAAATATTAATTTTCAATTTATTTTAAATGATTGTAATGACGTGTGTTAATAGATTTAATCCCCCCTCTCTTTTACATTTTTCAATTCCTACTACTAGCTCACTCTCTCTCTATCTCTCTCTCTCTCTATATATATATATATATATATATATATATATATATATATATATATCTTGTTCAAATTTTCAATCGTTAATAAAATACTTTCTATTCATCCATTCAAGTTCAAACACATTTTTTAAACTTGTAGTGGATGACACTTGATATTAATACAGTTTTTTTTAAATATTAATTCAATAATTAATTTAAAAAATATAAAATAGTAACAAACAAAAATAATAGTCCAATATCATATATGGAAAGGAAAATTGTTCCTTGTGTTCGATGGATACCTTTTTGGACTTCTAATACAAAGGTCGTGGGTTCGAATCCCACTTGGAATAGTCTAATTTCTGATTCTTCTTAATATGCTTTCTTTTTTACTATACTATTTTATTAGAATAATTAAATTCAATTAATGAATAAATAAGTAACTAACAAAACAAATAGTCCAATCCCCTACATAGAAAGGAAAATGGAAAATCGTTTTCTATTTTGTCACTTAATATTGTGATTCTGTCTATGTATATACATATATATATTAATTGCAACTATTTAATAAAAAGTAACTAAAATAAAAATTTTCTTTGTTGACCTAAGAAGGAATCGACTTTTTTTTTTTTATATTACTTGTTTAGATATGATTTTAGTTAATGGAAGTGATGATGAAACTGACGACCTTTTTCACCCTTATAGAGTCGTAAAGTAATAAATATAATGGAAACTCCAAGCAAAATTCGCTCATCCAGTATTTTCTTTCGTTAATCTCCTCTCATGAGAAAAGTGATTTAAGACACTGTGTAAGACATTGAGAAAGATGAATTGCTAAAGCGGAATATGCTGACAGAATCGAAAAGTCAGTTATAAGTTTCGTGTAACATAATTCACAAATAACCAATTTCTTACAATAAATGGGTTTGACCAGAAAAGGAGTAATGCAATTATTTGATTTTAACAGAAGAAATCAAGGGTGTTTTCCTGTTTTTATTTATTTATTTATTTATTTTGCATTATCAGAAAGAAGTTACGTTTTTTATACCTGATATATTTTGAAACATTATACTGTAAAATAATTATAAATTAAAATTTAGAATACTTGGATTAAGCATAAAGCTGTAAAATCCAATTTTGAAACTGCTAAATAATTTTTGCTTACAGTTATTATTATTGCTGTTACGGCAGCTGCTGTTGTTAGTGGTTGTGTAGCCGCAGTTGTAGGGAGAAGTGGTAGTAGTACTAGTAGTGTGGTGGTGGTAGTGGTGGTAGCATTAGTAGTACTGTTGGTTGATGTTTTTTCTTATGCTTCTGCTGTTATTGTTGCTGTTGCTATTATTTCATTCCTGCTCCTATAAAAAAAAAACAAATATATCTTTTTGATTCAAAGTACCTTAATGTATCTTTGTAAACGCTCTTCTCATAATAAATGTTACTGACTGTCCCAAACAGCAGAAGCGCACTCTAGCGACCACCCAACATCAGTACGGGCCAATTGAAGAAGATTTGTAGTCTCTATGAAAAACCGCCGATGTTCTTTTTACTTAATTTTTGTTGTGATATTTATTGTCTTTGTGTAACCTCTAACCTAAAAGAATAAATAACTGTTACATTAAAAAGGAGTCTTCATTGAACCCACTCCTAAATCTATCAGATTAAGTTTAATCTTTAACGTCTCCAATGCATTACAATGGACTATATACATATGACGTCATTTTAGTCACATGATAACGGCATCACGTGTTTCTAGCCAATCAGTTCAAAAACTCAAGTGACGTCATAGTCACGATAAATGCAATCCTCTATTTTTTGTTAATCAGATCATACATCAGGCAATCAGAATCGTTGTTGCCAAATTACGTTTTTTACAGATTTTTACTTTTTAAAATAATATTTGTCACTTCATTTAAAAATACATATATAAAACAAGATTTTTTCTTAAATTTTAAAAAAAATTTCTTTAAGTTTCTTTTTATAACAGTTGAACATATTTACCCAATTATATGAAATTTGAAATTTTATCCAAGGCTTACGAATACAATAAAAAGTAAAAGTTAGTTTAATGTAAGTTTTGAATTCAATGTACAACACGTGTTTACCTTTATCATGTAACTGTCATGAATTTAGCCCATTGGTACCCAACTGCAATAATATGTTTTCATACACTTATTCGCACTTGGCCTTTGCTCAATCCCTTTTATTTCAGCTATTATATACAAGAACCTTGTAATTGGAACACGTCCTGTGAACATGTGCATTTCAGCCGAAATTCGTTTATCGAAGTCCTCACTGAAGGATAGTTAATAACTGAAATATGAGTTTTTGCAATGTTTAATTTTTTTATTGCTGAACAGAAAAATTGCCTGTTGTAAGTATAAAGTGATCAATTTTGAGTTAAATGATCAATTAATTTTTCCCATTTTATGTAATGTAATAGAATAATTGATTCTCTACAAAAGGGCTTAATATTATGCTTAACGAATCAATATTAATTTGTATTTTATATTGAAATTTTGTGCTAAATAACTACAATAAGAGTCCCGAAAATCATCATTTAAGTTTTTTGTAAAAATAACAATATTAGTTTTTCACAAATTATTAAAAATACTACTCATGGATTTTATTTAAATACCAATTACTTACCTCCACCTACATATTTTTCTTGATATTTCATACAACCAAATAGGGTATTATTTAAGAGAAAACCTTAAATGTATCTAAAAAAAGTATAGTTCATCAATTTAAAGTATGATGACATAGCAAGAGCGCTCTGTGAGCGAAGACTACCAGTAGGCGCGATGCGCGTATCCCGAGCTGTGAAGACTTTTATAGGACGTGGTCGATGATACCTTACACACCCCTTTTTCCATACTTGATTGCGTCAGTCGGCTTGACAGGTACAGCCACAGCTATTCGAAGCTGTTTCACCATTCAATAAAACTTATTCTGTGTGAGAGACTGTCGCAGGACTATAAATATTATACATCTGGCAATAGATATATGTTTTGATATGAATTCGGTAGATAATGGAATAAATTTATAATTTGATAGTTGGGGTGCCCCCCTGATATTTTTGTACCGATTGACTGGGGTGGGGAAAACGTAGCACTATAAAAGTAACCCGAGCCCTCGGAACAGACATTTTTTTCCCACTGAAGTTAGAGATGCAACAGGCCAAAAGTGTGTGTGTGGTCATACTATATTGATTTTTGTTTTAACTGCTCGTTCTAGTCTTAACAATAATTTAAATATTTTTTTTTATACATTTCTTTAATAAAATTCGAAAACTTGCTGACGTATATTGCCATTTTAAGCATTTTAATAAAATGATATTTTTAAAGTAAACGAAATTATATCGCAGAAAGTTTTATTTAACTACTGTTTGTACGCAGTAGGACAGATCTATAATAAGTAGGAAAAAAATAATTTGAATAAAAATTTTCTTTAAAAAGGAAAGGAAGTATTTTGTTCGCTTACTTTTATCCCAACAGAATTAGAATCTAACAATTGTTTGAATTCATGTTGAAAATATTAAAATATTTTCCATCGCAAGAATGTGTATTAAAAAGATGATTTTTCAAGAACGAAGATATATGCACAAGACATTCCATAATTCAATTTGTGATAGCAGGTATTTATTTTTCTAAAATTATAACGCAAAGTATTATCCAACGAAATATTAAAGAGAAAAAAAAAGTAAAAAATAAGAAAGTTACTGTAGTATGTTATAGACAAGAATATACGCTATCGAAAGAAAGGAAAATAGCATTTTGACTAAAAATGTTCAAAGCTCTACTTACACACTTTTTACGAATCTTCCGTCATTTTCGGAAAGTAAAGACATACGAAATAGAAGTGAATTACGAAATATGTCGATAGACAAAAAAAAAAGAAAAGAAAGATAATAGACATGTTCGCAATATCGAAGTCTTCGAAACGAAATCTGTTATTTACAATACCTTGAATTGACTCAAATATAAAGAATGGAACAAACTTATTGCAAACCGAAGTGTTTTGAACGAAATCAAGCATGTAAGTTTTAGTTCTTAAATAAATTAGTTTAATTGTAAAAAAAGTTATTGTGAATAATTTATATCTCATCTAGTTAATAAAAATATTTCAAATAATGAATTATGAGGGGGAAAAAATGGTACTTAAGTATTATTGCAAAACCCCTTGGGGGACATTTTATGAAACGAAGCAAAATGGTTTTCCAATTCAGTGCGTATGACACATAGGAAATCGGGGTTGCCAACTTAGCGAGTTATTAATAGAGTTGGTGATTTTTCCGATAATACGTAAATACCGGTAAAATTAATTTTAAGCTGTTAATATTATTAAAAATTAATTTTAAACAGTCAATATTATTAAACATTATTTTAAGCAGTGATAATAAAATGAATTATATAAAAATTGGGGAGGAAAAGTTACTTTAAAAATTAAACGCAAAAATTATTGGCGAAATTTAAAATGAAAAAAAAGCACGTAATTCCAACCAGGGATACGAGCATCGAAATTAGGGGTTTCCAACTTGGCGAGTTATCTTGACATTAAAAGGGTTTGTTGGGGGTAATGTAAAATACCAAGAAAAGTATAAGAAAATTTAAGGCTTTCTTCACAACAAGAAATAAAATGATCATTTATAATTTTATAAAATTCCCAATTGCTAATTTATAATTCTATTACGTTTAAAATAATTGCCAGTATTTACATTAAAATTATCTGCATGTCTGAACATGGAGTACTATTACTATTTTCAAAAAAACAAGAACGTTTTTCCAAAGAACAAATTAAAAAAAAAAGGTCCAGTCAATAGTTTTAACAAAAAACAACTTTTAAAATAGAAAAAAAATGCTATAAAAAGGTTTTATTTGTTATTTTTAAATGCTAATGTTGATATGAAATTTTATCAAAACATCTGAAAAAATAAAAAAGAAATTACAATGAATCGCAGCATAAATCAAGTTCAAAAAATTTCAATAATTGTTTTGCATATTTTGCAAAGGAGTCGCTATGTAGTATTTTTTTTTCTTGTTTCATTTATTCCTGGTTTTTAAATTTATAATTTTTTTATACCTTCTGCATTTTTTTTAAAAAAATATTGTCTATTATTTTACTGTATTATTTTGTATCGTGGACTTTCATAGTTTTTGAAAGAATGCTGAAAAAATTTTTAAAAATGAGGGGGGGTTTAAACATTCCCCGGAAAAAAAAATTTTAAAAAAAAAAAAATATCTAAAAAGAACCCGAAAAAATTGGGCGCAAATTGACCCCCTTTTAAAAATAAATGTTTTTTGTTTCGAATGTATTTTTCTAACTGTTTTTTTTTTCGAAATTAAAATACTTTTTA